AATAAATTTTCAAATGATTAACAATCTCAGAGTTAAATTTGCTAAATCAACAACCCTATCATCATTAGGGCTATCAATGATCCAATTTCGAGTCGAGTTGGGACCAGCTTGAAATTGACTAAAAAAAAATTTGATCCAAAATTTGAGCTCTAAGCTCGACTTGCTTATTTCAATCCTATCTTGATTTGAGCCAAAATTTGAATCAATTTTTGAAAAAATAACATTCTTCGAGCAAAATTCGCAACCCTACGCAGACGATAAGTTGTCCTATTGAGGAAGAAAAAGATGGTTCAACCACCTATCTATTATACTAAGAAGATTTTCTCTAACACAGAGAGTCACTACCCATTGACAGACAAGACTATGTTAGCCCTAGTGTTTTCAACATAAAGGCTACATCCATGCTTCCAGGTTCATGTTATTGTTGTATACATGTAGCTCATGCTATGGGTTATTTTATAAAGAGCTGAAGCATTCGAGATGTTAATCAATTAGTTGGTGAAATTGAGAGATTTTTAAATTCAATATCTACCAAGATTAGAGAAAACTAAAGCTAAATCAATCTCACAAAGAGCCACTATAATATCAAATGCATTATTAAATTCAAACTCAAAATAATTATTCTATGTCAATAATGATGTGGCCCAATTCCTTTGCCCATGTGGTTTGGCCAGCAAACTTCACAGAAGAAGCTGTTATGACCAAAGTCTTCTAATCAGGTGGTTTGGCCAATAGGCACCATCAAATGGTTTAATTATTAGGCTCCGAATTAAAATCGTCATGGTTGTAACCTGTATGTTTCCAATGACAGTCAACTTTTTTAAGTATTGAATCATAGGGTATATTTGATAGAGCACAAAGCCCTTTGTAAGTTAATATCAACTTAGATTAGTCCCCTTAAACAAACATTCACTATAGGTCTATATGGTCTGCTTGGACAAAGTAACCTATGACTGATGATAATGATCCTTCTGTCAGGTTGGATCGACTACATCCGTACTAAGTAAACTAGGGTCTCTGATAACTTGGGATGATGAAACTATATAATCTTGATCGAGTTCATCATCGTTTCTTCCACCATCCGTGTTTAATCTAACGATGACAATTTAATTTTTTTTTTTATCTATTGTAATCGTGTGCAGAGTCTTAATGCTTAGTGTCTAATGACTAACCTTAATTGAAGGTGCTCTCCTGTTATCAGGAGGGATAATTATTCATAGAAGCTTGTGCCTATGTGAAATATTGGATCTCAGATTTTAAAGTCCTCACAAAAATGAGGAAGAAAACTCTTTGTAGCCTGATACACCTAAAACATATAGAGTTTTTAGACACATTTTTATACCTATTTTTAGATATTGCGCTTTAATGGAAGGTATTTGTGTGTTTTTCTTCAGGTACAAGTAAAAAAGGTGAAACATGCTAAAAAGAGTGAAAAATGATCAAATTTGGAGCAAAAAGGTGAAAATTGTGCTAAAGTGTTTTGGTGCCTAAACGTCAGATTCTATGTTTAAGCGCCGGTGAAACAGAGAAGGCCATTCCTAAGCGCCAGAGGCCCCGTGCTTAAGCGCTAGAGGCGGTTATTTGGCGGTTTACTTCATTTTCGAAATTTTTAAGGGATATTTGAGGCACTTATTTGCTAAAAAGGGTGATTATGACCACTATAAACGAAAATATGATTAAAAGACTTATGAAAGGAGACATCATTTGGAGAATACATTAAATTGAGATACATTTTGAAGAGTTATCAAGACACCTCTTGAAGATTTATAAAAGAAGGAAGTTGAGACTTTTTGAAGTGTGCTTGAAAGTTTTGAAAGTGTTGGAAAGGGGGAGTTTTGAGAGATAGTTATTGAGAGATTTTTAGGCACCACAAATTTACTATATCCTTTTTGTTTTTAATTTTGATGTGAGAGTCTAGAGTGTTGTAAAAGAGAAGAGATTCGAAAGAACTTCAAGAGTTTGGTGGAAGATTTGAGATAAGTTTTTATCTTTGTTTTTAAACTACTTTTGGTTTTAATCGAGACTTTTTGTTAGTTTGACAATGATTTCTACTTTTAAACTAAAGTGTGGATTTGTTATCTCCATGATTTCTGAGTAGTTTTCCTTATCTTTCTCCTTAAAATGATAAGTAATTAAATTTTGAATGGAAGTTGTGGAGAGTATTGATCTTTAATGTTGGAAGAAGTTGTGAAGATTTAAATCCATGTACTTTATTTACTTCTTGATTTAGCCTATCTAGATGTTAAAATTTGTTGTGAGAACATGTAAGAACCAAGTTGGTAATGTCTTAGTCAACAATTGGAAAGAATCATATGAGGTTGTATGAATGAGAATGTAATTCATATGATTTAGTGCAAATAAATAGAAAAATAAACTTTGAAGGGTGTAGAGTTAGAGGACTTTAAAGTGACAGGTTAAAGCCCCCAACTTGGTTTATTGTTTTAGGTTCTGATAAGAGATGTTAGCCCCCAGGTGAAGGGAATCGAGGGAACTCTAGAGTGAGAGCTGGTATCTTCTTCCTTGCCTAGCCAGTCTTCAGAACTATTTAAACTTTAAATTAACCAATGTTCTTTATAACATCTCTTGTAAGGGTAAAAAATATTATTGCTCATATTTGACACAACACAATTTGCATACTTCCACAACAGAATTCCTATACTTATTATTGATTCATGAAAAGGAGAAATATTTTTTCATATCAAGTGCTTTTCTTCTACATACACTCAAGTTATCTATAAAAGTTTTACTGTTTTGTCAAAATATCAAAAATATAAAAAAAGAGCTGAATTGTACTTATTGAGAAAATATCTATAGTTTAAGTAATTGTCTTTTTAAAAATAGAAAGTTTGTGCATATTACATATTTTTCCTGTGGGTTTGATATTATTTTTCCTGTGGGTTTTTTCCTGTGGGTTTGATATTCAAGTCTTAATTAAAAAAGTTTTATATTACATGATAACGATACATATATTTGCGTAGTATCTCAATGTGAAAAAGATCATTAAAGTCATTGTTATACTGTTGCATATAGACAGTCGGGATCATAGCCTTCTGAAAATTTGACTCTAAACTTAACACAAGCTCTCAATGAGATTCCAGCAGCATTTCAAGTTTTCGGAGCCCACAATCTTGAAGAGAATGTAGAATATAAAGAAAGTTGTTGATCTTTTCCTATATCATATCTATAAGCAATCAAAACAAGGATTGTTGGGACAATATAGAAAAAACAAGATAAAATAATGTGACTGCTTCTTCTTAATTAGATGCAAAAAAGAAAAAAAATTGACGGCATAAATATATATGCATTATAGTTTTCTATTGAGATCGAATAATGTGATTTAGATCATAATAATGGCTATCACTAGCAGTGGGCTATGGAAGGAAAGTGCAATCGACAAGACGATGATCACATGCAGTTGCAATCGTTGGCACTAGCAGTGGTGCTGACAATATGTGTAGGTGTTGTTGGCAGTGATGGTGGTTGATCGATGATTGTGGCTAACAATTGAGATTGTTGGCAGTGGAGGCTTGGCAACATTTATTGATTTTAAAAATATTCAAAGCAACTAAAATTATTTTGATTGAAGAAAGTTTAAAAAAAGCTGAAAAACAAACATATTAATATTTTAAATAAAAATTAAATTGATGACAAATATATTCTGTTTTTTTTTTTTTTAATTTTGATTAAAGCTTCCTCTATAGAAATGCAAGGCGCTTGTAAAAAACCTATAAGACAAATATATACATATATTCCAAGTTAGGCTTGGCATTAGAGCCCCGAATCCTGGACCCTGTCTCAGGCTGGCAAGTTGTTAGGATTTAATGCTGGCTCCATACATTGTCAAAGATGATTACTCATTTATCACTTGTAAAAAATAATAGATTTCGTACGAATTTCTTTTACTATGTATCTGTGAATTATGATTGGAGTAAGGATTACTAATTTTACTAACCAGATAAGTAAGCTTGTCAAAATAACAGAAAACATATTTTAGATTTAATCTAGCTAGTTAAATTCAACATAATCTTCGTTTGTAAAATCAATAGGTAAGGACTGTGCAGCTGTTACTTACAAATTAGAACAAATTTCATGAGATACTTCAGTTGAGCAGATATAATGATATGAACAATTGAACTAATTAGTTCCATTGTAACTCAATTCGTTAATATTTAAAAGAACAGGCAGAATAAGAATTATTTAATTAGTTGCATGTTAACTATTCCAAATTATTAAAGCCTGCTACGCCTAATTGGTCTGTCAAAATAAGCTCATTATATATTCCTATTAATATCCACCTTCAGTGCTTCATTATAAACAGAGCATCAACAAGAAAGCAACTACGAGTTTACGGATCTGAAACAGCAGTCTGGAGATGACGCCATGATCTCAAGTGGGCATCTTTCACAGTCAACCATATTACTCATATATTAGTGCAGAAACATCAGATAATTTATTTCCACTACTGAAATATTTTAATTTCTTACTTTTAAAAAAAAGTTAGGTTTGACTAATGAGCATTTGATCCACAGACAACTCGCTTGACACGGACTGCCCAACAGATTGCATAAGATAAGCTCAAGGAAATTTCCAGCAAAGTGGCGAGAACCCAATAAAAAAGCTGCATGGAAATTTATAAAACTAGCAATCTTCCATTTTAAAAGTCTAATTAAAGCTTACTTTATAGAAAAAGATCAGAGGTTCAAATTACACATATAATACCTTTTATGCTCAACTTTCCCTTGTAAGAAAAAGTTGCTGCGGTAGCCATAATTAACCGCTGCAGAAACATTTATTTGTAGTGTGGGCCAAAAATGAGGAATATACCAAGTTCCTCATGCTTATTTGGTGAACAACATATAGATAGTTAAACATATTGGAACATAATCACTGAGAGAGAGAGAGAGAGGGACTTATAATTACTTCAATGGCTATATAATTAATTAAGCATGCTTCATTAATAAAAGAAAGTCCACTATCAAAATCTCTATGACAAAAATATGAAAAAAAACTCGCATAACAATTAATTATTTTACATCTAGAGTACCAATATGCAATGAAGTGAAAATACGTTGGGAGGGAAAGGAGAATATACCAACATATTTTGCACTACTTAATTTTTCTCAGTGAGCTTTTTATGCACTCAGCTCCAACCTCAAATTCAAACAGGTACTCTTCTTCAATTACTCCCACAAAGCAAAGCATATCTATATAAATAAATATATATAAATATTTATATGTGCAAAAGCATGGATCAATGGAGATTATGATGATCGGGCCAGGGCCAGTAGGCATTTTGATCGTCCATTCCACAGAGCAAGTTGCCGAAGTTTTCATCAGAGACCAGGGCGCCGTGCTCTATCTTGGTACAGTGGAGATGATCAGGTCTTGATGAGGTTGGGAGAAGGTGGGCGATCACCGGCGGTCGGATGACGGAGAAGAATGGTATGCTCTGTATGGGATGATTTACGTGCGGGTTCTCTGAGACCACTGTGGCAGCGGTGGCGGTGGCGGCGGAGGCGGAGGCGGAGGCAGCCATCGCAGCTGTGGTTGACGTTCTTGAAATGTCCAAGTTTATCTCTGAGCTATTCTCGCTTCTGTTGCTGCAGGATCCCTCCGTTTCCTTATTCAGATTTATCAGTTCAGGTGCATCCCTCCCTTTAAGAGCCTGGATCTGCATGTTATAAATATCAACCAAATCACTCCAATATATAAACATTCAAACATTAATAATTCTGTATTACAACTACCGATATTGATAAATCTGAAGACTTTTATCTGGAAGCTTAAAATTCATCTAATATAAACAAAAGAACAGAAATTTTTTCTTGAAAGTTGGAAATTGGAAGTGACAAAGTTAATTAATCATCAGCCAGCTATAAAAAAGAAGTTATTAATAAAATGTTCATGATAAGGCCAATCATTAAAACAGAGCCAACCAATAAACTTTATCAAAAGACTCAAAAGCATGATGGATTGATTCTGCAGCAACTACTCTCTCATCAATTTAAGGACAAATCTTCCTCAAAAGACTCACTCAACTGAGAGCAATTATTAATCATCAAAGTAATAAATATAAATATAAGCATTCACCTCAGCCAGTAGTTTCTTGTTGTGAGCCTGGAGGACATCATTATCTGCCTTGATGGCATCAAATTGTCTCTTGAGCAAATCATAATCCTTCTCAAGCTGCTTTGTCTTCCATCTAGCTCTCCTGTTCTGAAACCAGATCGCAATTTGTCTAGGCTGAAGACCAAGAGCCCTGGCCAGATGCATCTTCCTCTCAGGCTCCAATTTGTTCCCAAGCTCAAAATTCTTCTCTAGTGTCCTCACCTGCTCCACGTTGAGCCTCCTCTTCTTCTCCCCTGCCTGCAAGCAGTCATCGGACAGCTCCTCCTCCCCTTCCCCGCAAGCCTCCACAATCCCCTGCATCCCTCTGGAAGAAAAGTCTTGAGGATTAAGGGGAGGGACTGGAAGGTGGTCGTGGTCGGAATTGGTACTCTGCATCTGGAGAATGAAGCTTGGTGGGAAGAAGGGAGAGGAAGAAGATAAGCCACTGCAGGAGGTCATGTGCATGATCTTCATCAACAAGCATGGGTGGGAATTGGGCACAAGCTGGTCTTCTGCTCTATTTCTGCCGTGCTGACATTAGCGAAAGCGAAGCCAAGCGAAACGAAGGACTACTTTGGCTTGTGAAAAAGCCTGTAAGGTCTTGGAAAGTTGGAGAAAAAAGTGGTGGGCTAAAAGCCTAAAAGACAGCGAGAGAGAGAGAGAAAGGGAGAAGTAAAGAAAGGTAAATAAGAGGCACTGATACATAAGGAGAAGGAGACGGAGATTTTATCTCTTTTATCATTTACTTATTTATTTATTTATTTATTTATGAAGGACTTGTCAGAATTTCTTCTACGTACGTTGCTTCAATTAGACATTTAGGTTTTGTGTTTAGGCTTCAAATAAACATTAGATTATAAGCCAAAAATGATTAAAGAAATGGACATGCCACGAAATAGCACATTTTGTGGTCCTTCCGCTCATCCACGGTCTGATGGATCCCATGTGCGCTATTTAGTATTTACAAAGCTGGTTTCCAACGTGGGACCTACTCTTCTAATTAATTAATCTCACCACAATATTATTTTGTATCTAACCTACTTTTATATTTTATTTTCTGATAAAAATTATGCAAGTATTTTTATTTTTTATCAAAATAACGTATAATTGCATCTTTAATTAATTATATTTAAGGATTAATGTACTGAATTTTCAACTGTTCACCTTTTAATTACTTTATGATATCAGGGAGATGTAAACTAATTATTAAGTAATATTGTTTGAATTATGTATGTTTATTCAATCTGATAACTAAATTTATAATCATTATTTTTTTTAAATGAGTATAATTAAAAAATATATTATATTTATTCATATGAAAATAAAAGAAAGTCATGCCATTCTAACGAAAGTAAACATGCCCGTTTCATTAATTACTTATGCCTAAATAAAGTAAATCTTTCGTAACATTAAAATAAAAAAGATGTATTCTTCTTCTTAATTTGGCTCCTCAGAGTTAGGTAACGATGACATATATAAAAGTTGATTTTGGTTGATAACTAATATTCCATCATGTAATTAATACGACCAATTCCTAGCGCACAGTCAAAGTCGTTGTTAGATCTCTCTCTCTCTCTTCTGATGAGTGAGCTTTGACCCCTGTTAAACTCTTCAAGATTAAAATTCTTTTTTTTTTTAATTTCATACTCGTCGTCTATTTGTTACGTAAATATATATTTATATATATATATAGTTTAGATGGGTCCAACTTTTTCATAAAATATATATAAAAAAGGATTGCTTGCAGATCGAGTAAATAAGCAATAATATTAATATAAATGTTTTTAAAAAGACATTAGTTATATATATGGTGGCAATGGAGTTATATATAAATATATGTGTGCTGATATTTTCTTTGGGGGGAGAGAGAGAAAGAAAGAGAGATTGGGGGGAAAGAATCTAATAAGGGGCTGATCATGCATGGGTCCAGTGGTTAGCAGAAGCTGCTACCTAACCCACAAACAACCAACGTGGGTTCATCTGCATTTTTTCTCTCTTCCACACACATACACACACACACATACACACACACACACACTCTCTCTCTCTCTCTCCCTTCCTCACTTATCTCCCTCTCCACCCATTTCTGGCTAAACCCTAACCCTAAAACCTTGCCCCTACGCTAACTCAAAACCAAAATCCCTCCCCGTCTCTCTCCCTATTTTGTCTTCTTCTCTTTGTATTTATTTACCCAAAAATTCCATCTACACGTTGAAACACATACCTTTTTCTCTGTCTCTGATTAAGCTTATGATGACATATCACATCTGTCTAATTTATCAAAACTTGCATTTGAAACCTTGCATGATCAATTAAAAAGTTCAGAACTCGTCTTAATTAGTTATTTTAATTTCCATTTGATTAAACATCCCTGCCAACCGGCAAGTTAATGATAGAATTCTTATTAAGTGGAAGTTTCCATCTCAATTTCTTTTTTTATTTCATTTAAATAACATTCAATAATTCACAAGCATCCACAAAATTGTTGTTTTCAATTTTTATAAGAAAAAAAAAACTTTCTTATTGTGGCATGTTGGAAGATTCACAACAATAGAATAATAAATTAGTGTACAGAGTTGTACTAAAATCAACTGCACAAATAGATAATAGAGAATTAATATGTGATACTATGAGTTTTAAGTGAAAAGCCCCAGAAAGAAAAAAAACCATGGCAACTAGCTCTGTTGAATTAATTCACAATGAAATTGTGCAAACATAGGTCCACTCTTCTCATGAATTAGAAAAGATGAAATTATAGAAGTACGATAGTGGTCAAGCTTTAAAAACCGTATATAAGATACAACAAATATAGTTATTGATAGTTGTAATAGCATTGATTTGCTGTAGAGATTGTAGTTGAAAGACGTAGTAGTAGTTAGTCATATGGTCCGTTGTTGGTGGTTTTAGTAATGTCAGTTCGCCAAAAAAATCATAGTGGAGATAAGTAATAGTATTAGTTGACCACAAAGGCTATAACAGAAGGATGTAATAATATCATTTGACCACATAGGAGTAGTAGAGAACTAAACTAGTGCCCGTAGGCCACAATAATCGGGATTTGGAGCTGCATTGTTGTGAGCCACGTAAGTCGTAGTTGATCACAAAATTCGTAATGGTAAGTTGTGATAGCGTCGGTAGGTCATAGAGGTCAGAATTGGGAGTTGCAATAATGTCTATAAGTCAACGAGATCAGAGTTAGGAGCAGCAAGAGTTGTGAGTCACATATGTCGTAGTTGTTCTCATAGGACATAGAGGGGTTAGATACAATTACTTTCGTAGGCCACAGAGACTGAACTTTGGAGCTGCAACAGCATCTGTAAGCCACAGAGCCAGAGTTTGGACTTGCAAGAGTTGTGATTCATGTAGGTTGTTGTTGTTCAAATGGTCATAGTGGTGGTTTGTAATGACAATAATCAACCACGTAGGCCGTAATAAGGAGCTTAACGTTCGTTGGCCACAAAGACTTCCATGAGCGGTGAGCCACATAGGCAATAATTGGTCACATAAGTCATAGTGGTGAGTTGAATATCAATGGTAGATCATAAAGGTCAAAGTTGGGAGTTGTGATAACTTTTGTAGGTCCTAAAAGCTGGTGTTGGAAATTGCATTTGCTGTGAGCCACGCAAGTTGTAGTTGTTCACAAAAGACGTAGGGTGAGTTACAATAACTTTTCTAAGCTAAAGAGGTTGAAGTTGGAACCTGCAATAATTTCTGTAAGCCACGGAGATCAAAGTTGGGAGTTGCATGAGCTGTGAGCCTTGTTGGTAATAATTGGTCACATAGTTTGTAATTGTGAGCTACAATAATGTATGTAGGTCACAGAGACTATAATTGATAGCTATGTGAGTTGTGAGTCATGTAAATCATAGTTGGTCATATATGTCATAGTGGATAACTATAATAACATCAATAGATCATAGAGGTCAAAGTTCAGAGCTGTAATAATATTTGTAGACCATAAAGAGGAGTTGGGAGCTACGTGAACTTTGAGCCTTATATGTCGTAGTTGGTCAGATATGTTGTAGTTGTGAGCTACAATAACATCCATAGGCTACAAAGGTCAGAGTTGGGAACTCAATGAGTTGTGAGCCACATAGGTCTTAATTAAAAACATTGGGTGTAATAAGGAACATTGAGCATTTTCCTTTTGATTTCTATCATCTACTTAGGCTTCCATTTTCTGTTGGGCTGTGCTCTTTCCTTTCTAATGCAAGTGCTCAGGAGTTTTGTTCTAGTTGGTTTTGGGAACAGGGTGTATCGAGCCATTTTCTTATGATCTCTGTCATCTGCTTGGGCTTCTTTTTTGTTTGGGCAATGCTCTTTCTTTTCCACTGCAGGTGTTCTGGGACTATGTTTCGAGCAGGTTTTGGGAGCAGGTTCAAGGTCACTGGAGCGGTTCTCTTAAGATTTTTTGGACTCGTCAAGTTTTTTTTTTTCTTTTTGGGTATGCATATTGTTGGGTATATGACCTTTTTGGTCTTTATTTTATTTTTTTGGTATACATGTATCGCTGATGAGAACCCCTTTTTGGAGTGCATCATGTATTTTCTTTATTTTTTAGTTTTTGGGATCCTCTCAAAACCTTTTTTTGTATCCATCCTTTTGATTAACACTTAGGGAGTCGAATAATGCTCCTTACCCTAATAAAAAAAAAGAAACATTAAGCCACCAAGTTCATATACAAAAGTTGCAATGAGAGAACTTCAGAAGTTTAGGAAAAGTCATCGTAACTAGAGTATGATGACCGTAAGACGTTGTCATTGGGAGGTATTACTGGATCTTTAATACAAAATAATTCATTACCCCTGTATTGGTGGTAAGTTGGTGCACTATATTTAGGATGTATCGTTACATCATATTTGGGTGGTGTTTTTATATCATTTTTTTAGTGTGTCGTTAAATAATAATGTACATCATAACTCAACAAGATGTTTTATCACAACATGCATCGTTACTCTGAAAGATCCACCAATGGCAACGAGCAGGGGCGACCAACAATAGTCAATAATAGTGGAGAGCGATGGTTGATGGTGGCCGACAACTTGGGGAGCAAAAATTGTTCGTCGGGGCTTTGGTCAAGATCAACAATGGAATTTGACACCTTTTGGTCCAGCTCTACGTCTAAGTCTTCCTCCCTCCATAAAGGGAGGGTAGGGCTCTATGTATAGATTTTGGGAAAGGCATCCCCTATAAATAAGGAAGGAATTCAGACTACTCCATCAAATGACATAGATAAATTCTTTTAATAAGGCATTGTTTTATGCACATTTAAGTGTCTTAATGATGTTAGAATTGAGTGATCTTAACCTCTTTAGATATATTTCCTCGAGACACTCGATTTAACTATAATCTTGAAAGATTTGGAGGTCATTTAAAGCTTCAATTCACCAATCAAAGTTTCCAAAGGGGTTTAACGACATGAACCAGGCTTAATTTAACTCGGATTGGGTCAATATTGGTGACATTGGATTTGTCTTGTCGAGCGGGTCTATTTGACTAGAATTCTACTGAAATTGAAGTTTTGCATGATTTCTAATTTAAATAGGTACATTCCTTGCACAAAAGTATTGATCGTGTAAAATGATAAAAATTATTGATATGTATGAGTGTATCACTTATTAAAATGAAGATTAAGCTCACAAACTTTTTAAACCACTACATTTAGCGGGCGTAAGTGGACTCCGTGAATTTTATGGCCGTGAGA